CATGCGTCTGACGAAGTGGGTATTCACCCACGAAAGCTTATGCTCCAATACGTCTGTTAGTCTATAAGGTGCCACAGGACTCTTTGTTGCTTTTTACAGATCCAGACTAACACGGTTACCCCTCTGATACTTTTCTGTGCTGTGATCTAACTTGTGCTGTAGGTGAGACCACTTTGTCAACCCCCTTTCCAAAGCAGTGATTAGTTAGTCCGCAGCCAGCAAAAGGCCTGGGGTTATCCTTACACCTTCCTCTGAAGCCTCAGCTGCTTTCTCAGTTTCCACTTACTGCTGGACTCAGAGATGATCTGAAGCATCCCCATCAGAGACAGGCTGCAGCTTACTGGACCCAGGCTCTCCCTCCAGTGCAGCCCCAACTACTCCTGTGGTAACTCATTATGTAAGGAGAGTGATTATTATTGTATTTATTGTTTGGGCTGAAAGGTCCCTAGCGAGGTCAGGCCCCCTGTGCTAGGCGCTGTACAAACACGCAGTGCTTACCCCGAAGAGCTCACACAGCCTGCACACACGAAGCCGGAGCGGGGCGGGCGGCAGAGGCACAGAGAGGGAAGGCCCTTGTCCAGGGTCCCCCAGCAGGGCAGTGGCACAGCTAGCTCTCCTGAGTGCCAGCCCGGGACCAGGGAGCGGCTCCTCTAAGCCGCGGACCGGCCGCGCCGCCTGCCCCCGGCCGGCCTCTCCTGGCCCTTTAACTCGCCGGCGGAAGCGGCTGCCGTGGCCGGTGCCGGCTGCCCAATGGGGATGCGGTTCGCGGCCCATCACTTCCTGGCCCTGCAGCCGGGCCGGCACGAGCGAGGCTGAGAGAGCCGGGCCGGGGGAGGGGCCGCACCCGCCACCAACATGCCCTTTGACTTCAGGAGGTGAGTGCGGGCGCCCCCCCGCCCCTCCCCCCCCTAGCGCGCGGGGAGGGCCCCGGGGGCTCCTTGCGCGCGGACCTCACGCGGGCTCCAGGGCCCCTAGTGCACGGGGGCGGGGGACACCCGTGACACCCTATGCTGTCCGGGGCGATATCCGCCGGGGCGTCACGCGCTGCGGGAGGGGTCGATGCAGCCCCTTCCCTCCAGCCGTGTCTGCTGTGGGGGAAGAAAAGAGTCACAGGATCCTTGCAGCTCTCGGCATCTTGGGGCTGCTCCTCCTCCCTGAGCTGGTGACTTGTTCAGGGACGTTCTTCCCTTGCAGGGTGCAGAGCACAGTTGTATCCGTTCACCAGCTAAACCTGGCCTGGCCTGGCCTCATCTGGGGACGCTGAACGCCCCCACCCTCTGAGCGCTTCCTCCCACGTGTACGTTAGTTCACAGGATGCAACCTGTGCGAGTGTCTCGTAGACACTGGGTAGAGCTCGCTGAAGCACAGGCAGGGGTGTGATCTTTGCGCAAGAAAACATGTTATTATATAACACCATAAATGTGCCCAGTGCTTTGCAAAAACAAGGTGAGGTCCCGACCCAAATTGCTTATGACCTCACATGGGCTGAAATGAAACACAAGCTGCAGAGCAGGCTGGGGAGAGGGTGGGGAGGCCACTTTAGGGCTGGGGTGGGCAGGATGCCAGGGGAAGGGGCCTAGGTTTTGAGAGGGAAGGTGCATGGGAAGTTGGAGATTCTTCCACCAATGCTGTTATGTAATAATGTTGTGTAAAGCGGGTGTCAAGGATCTTTATAGAGCGTATTGAGGGCATGTGGGCATGCTGGGTGGAGAGGTAGAACCCTTTGTATGATTCCTAAGCTGGCTGGGTGAAGGTGATGCTTCATTACTTTATTCACAGACAATAACAAAAGAACTGAGTTGAGCACTCTGCCTTCTCTTTCTCTCCTTGCAGGGAGACACACTGACAGGTCTTTGATCCCAGTATAATGCTCTTACCAAGCTAAAGCTTCTCTAGGGGGCTGCCTGATATAATAAGGCTACATGTAACTAAATCTTTGTGCGTTGTTGCTACTGACAGCATTGAAAGTCTCATAAATCAAAACAGCATGGACATCTCAACCTGTACTTGCCTGCATTCGTGTTAGCGAACTATGTCTTGAGACACAGACCTATAAATGAGGTTGCCATGCATGCTTCATGTAGCCTCATAGAGACTTAGATTCATACTCAATTTTTTTTTCAAAAACAACAAGGAGTCCGGTGGCACCTTAAAGGTTAGTCTTTAAGGTGCCACCGGACTCCTTGTTGTTTTTGTGGATACAGACTAACATGGCTACCCCCTGATTCAAAAAACTTGGTTAACGTGCACTTGAGGTTGCAATGGCAAAATCGTTCCCTGTGCTCCTTGTGCTCTTCCTGAACATGAGCTTTTAATTCCCCAAACTTGCACTGGAAGAGCAGAAACTGTGCAGTTAAGGTGTCCTCATATGCCCCTTACAAGAGTGTTGGGCTTACAATTAAAAATGTAGAGTAAGCATTGGAGAACTGGAAAAAGTAAAGTTAAGATGATACTTCCCACCTAAGAAGCTATAGAACCTTAGCTGTGCCCTCTTTGGGATACCTTTGATTTCAGGAGGTGAGATGCTAGAAGGAACTGGGAACATCACAGTACCTTACCTCTCCCAAACAAAACTGTCATTTTCTCTGTGCTACCATAACTCCAAATCAGGACTCTTATTTATACAGTTCAGTGGGATTTTCTTTGTGTTCTGTGAGGCACTATTGATCCAGTGGGTAATTGCTTCTAGTGGAATGAGCACAATGGAGTATTGCTTAGCTGGAAACAATGAAATTTCACTAAATCCTACTAGATTTTGGGGGGCCTGTGGCTTCAAAGTCCCCTGTCTGATTTGTGTGAAACTTGGTGGTAGAATTATTCCTCAGCTTTGGAGATAGGCTGCCAATTTCAAACCTCATAGGCCTCTATTTGCAGACAATAGAGGCGTGTGGAAAAATAGGGCTTATAATGGGATCTGGAGCAACTGCTATAATATAATAGTATGCGAGGGAAGTGTGTTTCAGGTGGCTTGATAAATGCAATTCCTCCTGTTCCAAAGTTTCAAAACCCATGTGGAAACACAAGCTCACTAAAATAAAGGAAAGGGCTGATGATTCACAGCATGATGAGACAGAGAAATTAAATAAATCTGGGGTTATAAAGTGTGATCCAAACTTCCCCAAAATTTGGAGGTGTTGGTTCAGAGCTATTTTTTTGAGAGATTTCAAAGTCACAGATAAACTTTGCATTCTTTGTTTCTTGGCAACCCAGAGGGCTAAAAATAGATTTTTTTAAGGCATCATCTTACATAATGTAAACTTAAACAGTTGCTTTTTTTTTTTTATGATTGTCATCTTAGATGAAAGCTAAAATTGTCAAACTGGTATATCCCAGAACCCAGTCGTTTTATGGTACAGAAATTAATTGTCATGTCTGACAAAATAAAACTATACAGTGTTGTTGCAGGACTATGCAGTCCTGCAGCCCAGGATATTAGCGAGACAAGGTGGGCGAGGTAATATCTTTTATTGGACCAACTTCTGTTTGGTGAGAGACAAATTTTCAAACTACACAGAGCTCTTCTGTAAGAACTGTGTTGCCCAGTAGAGTAGCTCTAGATAGAGTGGATTGCAGTAGTCTGGACTGGAGATGATAAAGGTATGAATGGAGTGAGGTCTTCATCTGCCAGGAAAAAAACACAACCTTTTGGCCAGCCGAACATGAAGGAATGTGTATTTGCTGTCCTGAATAGAGATGAGACCAAGACTACAAATCATCTTAAGACGAGCTACAGCCACAGCATCTCATCTCCTAGATCAGTAGTGACCAAAATTGGCCTTTTCACAGCTTTTCAGCAACCAGCATATAAAATGAGTTGGTGAGTCCCAATCCATCTACTAGTGGACATGGATACATATCACAGATACTAATAATTGCATGAGAGGCGATAGACGGAAGAGCCTATGAAGACTGAACACCTCACCTGGTGTCCAGGAGTCAGGTGCATTGTTGGGGGCAGTGTGGGGAAAGCTTGTGCTGTTGCCTGTGCTCTGTGCAGAACTTTTATCTCCTGTGCTGTCAAGCTGTCCATTTTCAAGAACACCGAATTCATTTCAGTTTAAAATATAATGAAATGTGTTCACTCGAAATTAGTTTGGAATGAGTGAACAACCACTCTGGCCCAGAGAGTATTAGCGTTTTAATAATACTTGAGCACTTATATAGTGCTTTTCATCTTCACAGCATTTTATACATAATGACTAATCTTGCAATCTGACTGTGAAGTAGGTAAGCAATTAAGGCCTTACTTTATAGGTTGAAATCTTTGGTGCATGCTATTTTGGGTCTGCATTGTTAAGACTGAAGCACATGTCATTCAGGTACATACCCTTTGGACAGAACATCTTATCCTAGTAATGCACACAGGCTTGCTGCCATTTTCTCAGCCAAAATTTGGCTACAAATGGAATATAAATGTTTCCGCACATACCCCAGTCTCTGTTTTTCATGTTAAAACACCTTCATCCCACACCATCCTTTCTACTACAATTGCCAAACAAGTGGGGCTGCAGGATATATGGGGAGCTGCAGATGTTTCTAGGGACCCAGGCTGCCTCCATGTGCAACTTCTGTGAAAGTTAAAAGCATGCCTAAGTTAAACTGTAACTTTGGCCCATCTTGAATGGGGATGGTAGGGCAAAAACTTGTCTAATGCATGATGTAACAGCTTGCTAGACCTTGCTTCTGCAGAGAGCAGCATCTCTGAGAGGAAAGAGACCTTGGAATTTTAAATGTTCTTCATAATTCTCAGGACAATGAACAGGTCAAAAATATCGGCGTGTCTGTGCATTGGAAACTAGGTAACAAGGTGGAGAGAGAAACTTTGTCACATGTATTATTGTTGTCCTTGTGGCTGACTGCTTTTCCGGTGTCTGGCAGTTCTCATTTCAAAGCTAGTCACAGATGGCTGTGGAGTAGCCACTGAGGCTTTTGAATTCTTTCAGGACCATTAAACTGCTGTTGTTCAGCCTGCGAGCAAGTATAAACTAGAGGAACTGTAACTCAGATCTTGTTTTAACTGTGGGCAATTCCGAAGTTATGTGCTAACAGATCCAAGTGCTCTGCTATTCTGGCATTGGACAGTAAATCACCATTTATAGCTAATGGAGCAATTCAGAACTTACTTCCCATCATTTAATAATTTTGCTGGGTTTTTTTATTGCTTGATGATGTGAGTGGAATAATAGAGCTCACCAGTACATTGGGCACAGGTTTCAGAGGCATGGGGAAGGAGCCAGGTTTACAGCGGATTTAGATTTAAATGTTAAGGCCTAGTCTACACTAGAAAAGGTTTGCCTTTACATGTATAGCTATATCGGCAAACCCTCCCAGTGTAGATGCAGCTTATAGTGGCAAATAAAACCCATTTTTTGTCTGTATAGCTTATCCCAGTTCCCCAAGCAAAATGAGCTGTACTGGCAAAAGCATTTTTGTACAAGTATGACTGTATCTACACCAGGGCTTTTGCCGGTATAAAAAAAGTCACACTCCTTAACCAAAATTACTATATTGTACTAGCAGAATTTTCTAGTGTAGACCTGGCCTTAGACTGGAAGTGCTCAGAGGCAGGAGCTGTCTCTTATTCTGTTGGTATGGAGCCTAGCACAATGGAGCCCTATTCTCAGTTGGCCCCTAAGCACAACTGTAATAATGTGGTGGGTTTTTTGTTGTTTTTTTTTTTAAAGGAGGCTGTCCCTAGGATGACTATTTGTAATCCACACTTTAAAACATACTTTTTGTTGGGGGATGAGCAAATGTTTGCTTCAGTTCTTATTTGTCTTTCCTGAGCTGGTAGGACCATCTCTAATTGAAGCTGACATGCTTTCAACCTTGTTGCTTTCAGTGGAGGGTAAAGCATATATGTGTGGTGTTTTTA